TCTACGCCGACGAAAGCCACGGGCGCGGGAACACGCGTTTCGCGCGTGTCCACAGCCAAGTGCTGGAATTGCGACGGTGTAGGGCACCTTTCGCGGGACTGTGAGGCCGCGCCGAGAATGCATTGCTACCGATGCGGTCGTGCCGAAGTAACATTGCGTTCGTGCCCCGACTGCGCGGGAAAAGAGTAGAGGAGTCGATTAGTGAGGGGGACCCGACTCCTGTCCCCGATTCAACACCCCTTCGTATTGTTCCGTGTATCCGTGAATTGTCGTATAGTGCTTTTTGTCGTGACGCGTCATCCTTGTTGTATATTAATGTTAAAGTTGCGGGTCGAGAAATCCCCGCCTTGTTAGATTCAGGTTCAAGCCGTACGTTTTTGGGACCTGCCGCGATAGAGATCGTGAGAGAATTCCGTATGAATTTTGAAAGCGCCGACGGGCGACGTGTGACCACCGCTACGGGGCAAACCACGCGAATTCGGGGAGAGATCGAGATCCCGTTTACGATCCGCCACCGAACGAAACCTTTGCGAGTGTGCGCGTTGCCGACGCTCGCGTTACCGTGTATAATCGGCATTGACGCTCTATCGCTTTTTGGGATCGGAGTAGATTTCGCGACACAACGATGGTGTTTTAAGGACGCCCCGACTATAGAGTACGCGTTCGACGGGGGAGGCGACGGCCAAGCGCTCCGCGTGAGCGCCGCGGAGGGAGCGCCGGCCGAACCGGTGGGGGCACCCGCCGAGGCGGAGCCGGCCCTGCGGGCCATGGAGTGCCCATCGCAAGCCGCGCTCTCCGATGCCGTCGCGCTACCGAAACGCGCGCGGACCAGGCGCCCGCGCAAAAATCCACCGCTTTGCTGTGGCCTAGTGGAAATGTCGGCCACGGAGGAACAGCGGTTAGCGGAGTTTCTCGCGTCGGAAATTGGGGGTGACACGGGCAAGCCCGGGGTGACGTCGCTTACCGAGCATAAAATCGACGTCGGGGGGCACGCGCCGATCAAACAGCGCTACTACCCGGTGTCGCCGAAAATCCAAGAAACGATCTACGCGGAGGTCGATAAAATGTTAGAAGCTGATGTTATTGAGCCCTCGAAAAGCGAATGGTCCACGCCAATAGTTATGATTAAAAAGTCGAATGGCACTTATCGGTTCTGCCTCGACTTTCGCAGGCTGAATAGCGTATCGAAGAAAGACGCGTACCCGCTACCGTACATGAACGCGATCTTAGATAAATTACGGGCCGCCCGGTATATCTCGACCATCGATCTAAGTCAGGCATATTTCCAGATACCGCTGGAAAAGGGTAGTCGCGAATTAACAGCTTTCACGGTTCCCGGTAAGGGATTATTTCATTTTAAAAGAATGCCGTACGGACTCACCGGCGCGCCCGCAACATTTCAGCGTTTGCTTGATCGTTTAATCGGACCAGAAATGGAGCCTCACGCGTTCGCTTATTTAGACGATATTGTTATCGTCACCCGTTCGTTCGAGGAGCACCTCGTGTGGCTT